CCCTGACTTTTTTTGGCATGGAACTTGAAATGTCGTCTTTCTTTCAGTTTGCAATTGATCTAGAACGGCATGCTAGAAGGGAGCAGCTAAAGAGAAGTGGTCTTGGAAAAGTAAGAAACTTTCTTGCAACAACAATCACATTCCGCTTTGTATTATGAAACATCTTTCGATTTTGATTCTTTCAACCCAGGTCATTATGTTTTTATCAAAATATGATGAGGAAACCACTTCCAACAGGAAACTTGCTAAGGATTTGGTTGATAAATGGGTAATGTTCTGGTTTAAACTCCTGTTGCTTATATTCTAAATTTCTCCCTTGCTTCATTCTTATCACTTTTGATCTATATCATCTATGGTCGTGCCTTGTGACTATATTTTTTACTGATTAGCATGTTGCATTAGGTGTATAGTTTTGATTGTTGAATTTTTAGTTCTTTTGATTTAAGTGAAAACCTAATGCTCCGTTTGGAAACTTGGATTTTAGAATTTGGATTTTATTGACTATGTAAATGATAATTAAAAAAATACATATATTATGGATAAATTTAAGATTCAATTGAAAATGTAGTGGAAAAGCATCAAAACACGCATTTATCAAATCCAAATTTATATTGTGAATATCAAAATCACTACTAAACTCCTTTTGGCATGATAGTTTGGTGGGTAATATTCCCTTGAAAGAGAGATTTCCGCGTCTTTTTGCACTTTCCTTACATTTACATAAAGATGGAAAAATTGAAGCCTTTAGAAATCAATCTGCCTCGGGATGGTGGTGGGATGTTCAAATGAGGAAGAATCTAGCGGATTGGGAGATAGAACAGGGGTGGAATTGAATGCTCTGCTTTGCAATCTGCCTAATGAGTCTTTTAAGGATGATTGTTGTGTGTGGTCAGGAAATGAGGAGTGTTCCTATTCGGTCAGCTCTTGCATTAAGCTTATGAATGCTACAGTTGAGATCCATTTTTTATGGTCTAAAAAAGTATGGCTTGGTGTTGCTCCTCCTCATGTTGAAGCCTTTGTTTGGCAAGTAATTCATCAAAAGTTGGCTATCAAAGTGGAGTTGCTAAACGGGGTGTCTCGCTTGACGATTCCCTCTTTCCTTTGTGTGGTTTGGCTCCTGAGTCAGTAGATCATTTATTTGTTTCATTTGGTATGGCGTGGATCTTTGGACGAAATTTTTGAGATATTGGAATGTGCCGTTTTTTTGCCTGACAATCCTGCTCGACTTATTTCTGTCTGGGGTGATTTAGTTCTGAGGTCGAGCATTTGGACATTTATCCCAGGTGCGGTTGTGTGGTCGATTTGGAAATTTAGGAATGAGATTGTCTTCGAGAAAAAGAAGTTTGATTCTGCGCAGTTGTTCTTCTTAACTAGATATAGACTTTCAGCGTGGTTTTCTGCAAAATATCCCAAAGTTTTTATCCCTTTTGACTGTCTTGTGGGGGATCCTTCTCCGACTGATCATTGGTCAAGTTGTCCAAGAGTTCCATATGTTTCCTCGTAATGGTGTCCTCTCCCTACCGTTTTTTTTAAAGATAATGTCAATTAGGCAATGGATAATCAATGGAGCAGGGGGTGTTGGTGGGATACTTAGAGATTCATATTGTAATGTGTTGGGGTCATAGTCACATGGATCGCGGTACGCTCCGGTACGGGAACGTGGAACGGGATCGTAATTCGCTAGGTCCCTAAAATTCGGTACGATGGGGGTAGACTTATTTCGGATCGCTCCGGTACGATGTACCAGTTTCTTAGATAGAGATCAATTATAGAAGAAATTTAGAAATGCATGTTTTGTTTGTCTTATTTATTTATTTAGATTTGAGGTTTATCAACTGAACTGCTCAATTTAATAATATTGAATTTTAGAGGGATCAAAAAGTAAAAGGATTAATCTCTAAATTTGAGTAGAATAGAGGATCTAAAATCAAAATTAGACCAAAACTAAATGTAATATATTTTATATAAAAACCAGGCTCTTCCTACTTCCATTTTCAATTTTAAATCTCTTATTTTGCCATATCTCTCTTTCTCTAAATCCCCTCATTTATCCTTTCTGGTTTCTTCTTTCCATAATCGAAGATGCGTGAGATCCTTCACACTCAAGGTGGCCAGTGCGACAACCAAATCGGAGCCAAGTTTTGGGAGGTTGTTTGTGCCGAGCACGGTATAGATCCAACCAGTCGTTACCAAGGAGACCAAGATCTTCAACTAGAGAGAATCAATGTCTACTACAACGATGATGGGCTCTTCCAGCTCCGGTGAGGCCACGATGACAACACCTAAGGTAAGGCTCTTCAACTCACTGTTTTTTTCTGGTTTCCCCGAATGGTTTCCCCTCTCCCTCTTCTTTTCCTCTGATTTTTCTTTCTCAAACCCCCAATCCCTTTATTTTTCTGATTGCATCTCCTCTTATCCCTGCTGCAAAACTACGATGTACCGAATCGCGATTTTGAAACTATCCGAACGCGTTCGTACCGCGTTTTGAATCGTAACATTCAGTACGTAGTCATGGGCTATTGAGCGATTTATGTAACTATGGTTGGGGTCATTTTCTAAAAGTGTTGGTTCTATGCCTCCTATTTTGGTGGAGCTTATGGCGTTGAAGTCGGGTTTAAGGTTATTTATGGATTCTGATTGGAGCAGGCATGGGCGTCTAATTTTGGAAACTGATTGTACTAAAGTTGTGGATTGGATTAAAGACCCTGGTTCTTGCTCTCCCTTGTTTGTCTCACTGGTGAAGGAGATTGCTGCTATAGTCTTGGAGAGAAATGTGATTTTGAGAGTTATTCCGAGAAGCGAATTGGGAGGCTAACAATTTAGCTAAAACAAGAATTGGTTAATGTTGTTTGAATGGTCCTTTTTGGGTTTGATTTTGTTTTGTGATTGGTTTAGAGGCTATTGGGTGGGTTTTGTTGTATTGGGTGATTATTGGATTTCAGGTGGTAGGTCTTGTTTTAAGTTCTATAGGAGTGGTTTCTTGGATCTCTTTAGGAGGTTGTATTTTTGTTTAAGGTTGTATCTGAATTGTATGGTTGTTGTATTTGTGGTTTTTGTTTGGTAATAAAACTTTTTGAGGCACTCTTTTCCTCCTTTCAATGTCCATTGAGATACATCTTTGTATTTCGACGGTGGGTGAAGGGTTTTTTAATGAGGCCTACCTTTATTACAGAAAAATAATAATAGCTACTACAGGCATCGAACAAATCCATGGATTTGAGGAATAATAAAAAAAATGTTATGTTATCAAGTATTTTATTACACAATTTGCACTATGTTTCAAATCCAAATTCTGAAATCCAAGTTCCCAAATGCTACATAAGCTTATGTTAATCCAATTTTGTTTGTTAACATTTCTCAAGATATCTTAAAATTATTTTTTCCAGCTATCAATGGTATTTTATTTATTTATTTTGTCTAGTTCGATTAAGTCCCTTTTATTAATAATTTTGAACATAATGCAGAGTAGGCCAAACTTTAATAAGAGCACTAGGTTTGAAGACATGAGAAATGTTGATGATGATAGGGTTCCAATGCGAAGGCCGCCAGTGAAGAGGTACCCCTTTAGTTAGTTTTATGCAAAATACGATTTCATGTTTACTTACAATGTGCATGTGTTTTCATGTTGTGGTTTCTTACTGGTTTTTCGAAAATTCCTTTGTAGGCCTGCAAGTAGAGCTGCATCAATGGACTCTAGAGATGGTGATTTTGATTTAGAATTTTCTCGGTAATGTGTGATCAAATGTCTGGCCAAACATTTGGTTTAACATTGTTGTTCTGATCATATATGCTATTGATCATTGTTGGTTATAAACTACAGGGACCACAAGTCTGGTCGATCATCGTCAGGTCAAAATGCTTCCATGTCTGAATCTTCTTCAAGGTAACATGCTTCAAGACAAGATGCAACACCAATGGATTTTGTCGTGCGTCCTCAGTCTAAGATTGATCCAGATGAAATTAGGGCTCGTGCAAAACAAGTTGTACAAGATCAGCGCCGTTTAAAGGTATCATCTTCTCTCTCTGGTATTAAATTGAGTTGGTTTTATTATTTGGATAAAGTTTGTTAAGGAAACCAAAGGGGATGTTTATGTTGTATTGTTCCTTTAGCAGTCAGAACGCCCTCTATTCTCGTCTCGACATTTTCTGAAATGCGAATGTTTTTTCTTTCATGGCCAGATGAATAAGAAGTTGCAGCAGTTGAAAGCCCCCCAAAAAGCAGCAGCTGCAGGCGACTAAACTTAGCGTTGGAGGGTCATGGTATGCTCAAGTACCTGTAAATGATAGCCCAACAGTCCGCATGCCCAAACCACAACCTCTAATACTTCGCTGAGGAATGGTTCTTTGATGCAAATGTTTCTGATTTACATATCCAATTGATTCTAATCAATGAGAGGGATTCATTGTGGGGATTTTACGACGTTCCATTGATTGTCCTGGAAAAACACCTCGAGCTCAGTTCAAATAAACTGCAGCGATAAAGGATGAAGGATAATCCGTAGGCAACTGGTTTTGGGGCATCCCGACAATTATATACCTGCTAATCCGATGCCCACCCCGCCGGTAACATAATGTTTCAAGTGCTTGCTAGCGTAAATGGTATTTGAATTGTTTCTTTTTCCCTGTTTACCACCTCCATGTACGTGTTATGCATATAAACAGAAAAAGGTCAGTTCTAAAAACTCGTCTAATTGATGATGCAACTAGCAATTAGGTATTTGACTTCTTTTGGTATATTATTGACCACGACGCCAATATTATTTGAACAATTCAGTAAAATAAGTGGTTTGATTTGATCAAGCATCTGGTTGGTCCAGGCAACTGACTCATCTAATACAATCGAGTCATCCATCAGTTTCTTCCAAAGATCCATCAATATCTCTTTGAACGATAAAAAAAGGCATGCTCAATGACACTGCACAATCACAGAAAGCAAAATCCGATCCAAAGCTGCCGTCTTTAAGGGATGCTGATTGCAAGAAATAACCCCTTCCATTTTCTTCTGTAATTCATTTTTACTGTAGAAGAACAGTAAATATTTAGTTCAGATCAAATGCTCTGACAAACTAGTCAATTCTTATTGTACATCTTCAGAAATTGGGGGAAAAAGAGAAAATGATGGCTCCAGTCTAGGAGTAATATTCCAACAGGTTTGGCTTTCAACATATATCATACCAACAGGCTGCTGGGTTCCTGATTAATGTTCTGATGATCAATAGTCAATAGGCTGCCTTGCCCCTGAACGCCAATTGGATGAATCATTATACAGAGAATTTTATGCCTTCATCATCAGTTGAAGTTCCCTTAAAAATTGCAAGCTTCCCCTTGGCAAAAGGAAATTTATCCAAGTCAAGTTCGTTTACATGATTAAATGTGTGAATGGATGCATATGGATTATGATATATGCTTTTATTTGCTTTTCCAGATGGAGAAGTTCTACTGTGGATAGGAAGACTTACAAACTAAAGAAATTAAAAAAAAAGTTGTTGAATATGAATGACATTGGTTCTTTAAATTATTCCCTGCCTCTGCATGAGAACCATAATTCATAAATCAATAAGTTGTCACTTAATTGAAATAGCATAGATTCTTTCAAAATGAAATCCTAGCAAGAAGTTAAGGGACCTTGCCTCGGACATACATGAACTTGTGGGAAATTGAAAGTGTACATATACGAAACTGCAGTCCAATACATAGTTCCACATGGAAATCCAATTACCACCGATTAGGATAGGTATAATTCATTTCGTTCTTTTCCATGGGGATATGCAGTTGTTATATATAGCAGTCCAAACTAGCAAAATCCACAAGCCAGACCCTCTATTAAAACTATGGACAGGCAAGAGAGAAGAAGGAAAAAGAACCATCTCCAATATCGATCAAGCAGCAGGATTCAATAACCAGCTTAATCTAAAGAAGTGTATATTTTACCTGTCCCTCGTGATTCAATCCCTGATCGTATTTCCTCAACAGTCATAACACTGTCCTCAAAGCCATTATCTTTCACCTTATATCATACAGAAATATATATCAGAAAATAATGTTTGGAAGACAGCAATGTAAAACTAAGAATTTATTACCAGAATAGTGACTGAACCAAGGTTAACTCACAAAATTCACAATAATGTCAGCCCAATCTTGAATACGGTGCCAAAGGATAAGGCAACTCCTACGTCCTTTATCCAACCATTCTGCTCGTCCTGTTGCAAAAGAACAAAAATTTAAGAGCTTCCAATGAATTAAGGATGCTGAAGTATACTATTGGATTAATCAACCGGTAGAACCAGCAAAGACCTTCTGCAACCAAGTCTGAGAGGAATGCTTCCCTGGCTTCGTGACTGAGAGTGCCTGCAACATGACCAGAAAAAAGTATCTTCTTAGGTATATACTACTCAAGAGAACATAGAATTGTTTTATAAGCACAACCACAAACAAATGCACCATTACAGTTTCATAGCTCTAATCAGATGGCTTAACCAGAACTTAGCAAAACCGTTCTTACGTTCTATCGCAGAATTTGAGAAGAGAGGAAATTCTTCCTCAAGCTTGATTACAAATATCTTCTGAGTCCTGCAGTAATCCAGAATCAGTTCCTTCCAAAGTTGTATCTGTTTCTCACGAGTCTCCCTCACTGGCTGCAAACTGCATAAAATCAACCCCGATTCTTAAAATCCTCGTTAACAATCAAGGTGAAATAAAACGAAAAAGATTGAAATAGGTGTTGACAATAGAAGAAATATTATATATACAGATACAACTTAATCCAAATTTGAAATGCCAACATTCATTTGATTTGGTAGAGTGGTCATTCTTAATTCTAGTTAACAAGCTTCAATCTCTGATAACCTCAAATACTAACCACACACACTATAGCAAGGATCAAATATGGTTTCCCAAAACCAGGCGGAGGTAAAAGATCTGGTTATTCCAGGCTCCTAAATACCGGGTTTGATAAAGCCAGGTCCCGATGTTGATCTGTTTGCTCAAGAAAGAAAAAAGGGTACTACAAGTAAAAAGTTCGAGGTAAACATAACCCTCAACCAATGATCTCATCCACTTGAAAGAATCTTGAACCCAGTTGGAGGAAACAAAAGCGTGCAAGCCAGACCTAGTTTGGATCCACTACGATCTTATTATAAGATATTTAGTGAACGAAAAAGCCCAAAGCGAAACAGAGTTTCAGGAATGCTCGTTCGTCAAAAGCTCTGATTTGGTTAGAGGTATGTACGAGTAGAGGAAAGCATCCTAAGTCGTCGCACGGAAAGCTAAATGCTTTCGTAAGCAAGATAAAGTTTGTGTATATCAATTATATACAGATACAACTTAACAAATTTGAAATGCCAACATTCATCTAATTTGGGAGTGCTCACTCTTAATTCCAATTACCAAGGTTTCATTTCTAGTAACCTCAAATATCATAAATATATCAACAAATTTGAACTAGTATCCAGCATACTTCACAGGTGAAGATCAACCTTCTTCATGGATATTCAAAATTATTAATGTTTCTTCCTTTCTTAAAGAGAGAAACTAGAAGGAATAATAAATCACTCAAAGTGCTACTAGCAAATGAATAAAGCAAACACTGAAAGGAAAAAGAGAGGTGAATACGTGAAGTATGGTGGGTAATTGAAAAAGTGCGGAAGCTTGAAATCACCCAATTTCTGCATCTCTCGGGACTTCACAGTAGATGCTGCCAAAAAAAAATTTATCAGTAATCGATAGGCAAAGGAAATAAGTGAAGAGGAGGATAAGAGAAATTTAGCAGAAGAACATCAACAAAACAAGCTTTCCAACATATCGTCAAAAAGAACCTTAGAAGAAATAACCAGAATCAACAAACAACGATAAAAGAAACAAGAAAAACAGAGGAATTGAAGACTAGGAGCACAAATTATGAAAGCGAGATTAATAGTAGTATGATGTTTTATTGCATATTTGGCGCATTAGATTCTAATAATTAAAGAAAAAGAAATATTAAGATAGATGAATCTCATCCTGTAAATTATGTAAAACCATGTGCAAAGGCACACTAATATACTAAAGATTAAGTAAAATTTTAAATTGATTGTGTATCAAATAATAAACTACAAATTCTAATACAAAAAAGAAGAAAAGATGCAGCTCAGATTTGCGATTGGATTCAAATAAAAACTCAAAATTGCTAATGAACTGAGTTCTCAAGCATCAAATATTCAAATAAGAGAAAAGGGAGAAAATTATACCTGATCAGAGAGAAGTTTTTAGCTTTCAAGTCTAGATTTCAACTCTCTGAGTTTGCGGTTTTCCTTTTCTTAAATTCCTTTTAGGTCGGTGATTTTGACGGTCAGATTTATGATCTTCGATTCGGAACCTTTTAAGTAATTTCCGATAAAATGGTAAAATTAGGGGAAACGAACATCAAAGAAAAAAAAAGGGATTTAAAAATAATTAAGAAATAAAAATGTTTTTATAATTACAAATAAAGTCGTCACTGGATAAAAATAATTTCGATAAAGATATTTACAGGTGCAATATTTTTTTATAAAATTATTAATAATTGTCAATAAGTTTATTTTAATAATTGTATTCTGATATTAAATCGTAACAAGTAAAATATTAGAAAATTTGTTAGTCATTTTTTATAGAATTTTATTTTAATCTTTATATTTTGAGAAAATAACTTCAGTGACCGAAAATGTCTTATAATATATGATTTTAACCTTTTTTTTTTTTGGATTTACAAAAATGACCAATAAATTCGCAACACGAACTCCAATTTCGCAACTCATTTTCCAAATTCGCGTTGCGATTTTCCAAATTCGCAACACTGAATTTTAAATTCGCAACTCGATTTCTAAATTCGCAACGCGAATTTTTTTTTCGCAACTCGATTTTCGAATTCGCAACACGAATTTTAATTTCGCAACAGGTTTTAGTTTCGCTTTTAATTTCGCAACAGGTTTTAGTTTCGCAACACGAATGTTTTGGGTATATAACTACGCATCAGCAGCAACTCATAACCTAAATCCCTGCAACTCATTCCATCTCCATCTATCACTCTTTCCGGCGACATTCGTTCTTATCCAACGACATCCTTCCTCGTCTCTAATTTTTTTTACATAATTTTATTTCTATATAATTTTTCAATGATTTCTCTCCCAAATTATTAACTATCAACTTAATAAAGGTATGTTTTCTCTAGTTAGATGATATGTAGTTTATAGCTCTTTGTTTAGTAAATGAATTTACAATTTGTAGAATGAAATCATCTAATGTTGATCATATTTGGATAGATTTGTATGAAACTCTAATGTTACGTGTTGCAAAGAAATTAAATTTAGAGCCTCTAAGTGGATTTAGGCTATCTTATCAGAGAAAAGGTAAAGTTTATTTGTTAACCGACAATGAAGATGTTGAACGATTCATTGCTTACATTAGTGTTTCGCAAGAAGATGATGGTACATTGTATGTTGTTGAACCTAGAAGTAGTGAAGTTGGGTCAGTAGCGGGTAATAATCAACTAAGTTCTTCAACCCTAGTTTATGGTGCTCACAATGTACAACGTTGTTATCAACCTCAAAATTTAATGGTTCCACCACAATTTCATCACCAAGAAAATTTTGTTTCACCACATTTCCAATACCAAACACAATATCAAACACAATCTCAAAACCCACAACATTTTCCTAATCCAAATCCCAATCAACTTTCAGCACCAAATTCCGGTTTTCGTATTGACCAGTTAGACGATTATAAGCCAACAGAAAAAATTGTGAGTACTAGTCAGTATTCAAAATTTGATATTGGTCAATACTCGGACTTTGATCTTGGTAAATACTCGGATTTTGATGATGTTTCAGAAGAAGAAACAGACTATGCGTGTAATGATTTTGATATTGGTCAATACTCGAATTTTGATGATGAAACAGCCGTTGCTGAGGAAGATGTTATTGATAATAATGAGGGAGGAGTTACGACTGTGAATGAACATGTTGAACATCCATTATGTAATTCATATAACCCTGAAGAAGAAAAAGAAGAAGAAGAAGAAGTTCCCGAAGAAAAGAAAAAGAAGAAAATGTCAAGGGAGTATAATTGGAATATGCCAGAATTACTTCAGATACCAGAAGAAGAGTTGGTAAAGATAGTAGTTGATTGTTACACAAAAGTTATTCGTATCAAGAAAGATGATTGTTTTGATACAAAGGAAGACTTGAAGATAGCTTTGTATACGAAATGTGTGGAAGATGGCTATCAACTAAAAGTTAACAAATCAAACAAAGATCGTTTCGAAACAAAGTGTATGATTGACAAAAACTATACGTGGTGTATGATTGTAAAGAGGATAAAAGATTGTGAAATGTTTCAAGTTAGGACTTTTATTGATAAACATACATGTTCAAGAACCCAAGTTTTTCCTCACCATAGACAGGCAAACAAAAAGGTGTTGGGTGGTTTTTTGGCTGAGTTAATGTTTTTGAATGGCAGGGTATATCGGGGTTATGAAATTATGACTGACATGAATGCTCTGTTCAAGATTAGTATCTCATATTCTTAAGCTTGGAGAGCCAAATGTTATGCCTTGGAATTGTTGAGGGGGTCTCCAGAAGTATTGTTTGCCCAACTGCCGACTTATTATCACAATTTAAAGCTGAAAAATCCTGAGTCGGTAACTCATATCAAAACAGATAGAGATTGACGCTTTGAGTCGTTGTTTATCGCCATTGGTGTTGCGGTTAGTAAATCAATATAATTTGTTGACTCATTTTTGCTAGTTACATGCATTTCACATTTAAATGATTATGTCTTGTGTATATTATTTTGTAGATTTGTTCGTTTATTACTTGCATGCACCCAATTATTATAGTTGAGGGAGCACATTTGAAAGGTCGATACCTTGGAGTAAACTTATTAGCAGTAGCCATGGATGCTAACAATAGGATATTGCCAATAGCTTACGGGGTTGACAAATCTGAAACCTTTGATTCATGGACATGGTTTATGGGGCATCTTAGGGATTGCATAGGTCCTATTAGCAATCTGACAATCATATCCGATAGGGCAAACTCAATTGACAACGTTGTTAGAAGGTGTTTCCCAGATGCTTTTCATGGACTTTGTGGTGTTCATTTGTACAGAAATCTAAAATCAATGTCTGCTGGTATAAAAAATCACAAATGGACATACTGGAAGACTATAAAAGCTTATCGGGAAGTAGATTTTAATAACATATAAATTGTTTAAGACGTGTTTTGCCTCAATGTGCTCAAACACTAGAAGATGTCGGGTTTGAAATATGGTCAAGAGTACATCAACTTGGAGCAAGATATGGTTTCATGATGTCTAATAATGCAAAATCAATCAACGCTCTAAGTCGTCATTCCTAGAAATTACCCATTACTATGTTAATGGAGTTTTTTCGAGCCTCTATTCAACAGTGGTACTACAAGAAAAGAAACCATACATGTATTATTTCTTTAAATTCGTAACTTATCATATATTTTACTAAGTATTATTTATTTAAATTTACAGGAACATTGGAATGTCGTGTTACACCATGGACTGAAAAAAAGATAACGAAATGTGTTGTGAAGTCAACGTCATGGAGAGTTGAACCAGGTTCAAACACTTTGTTTGAAGTATTGGATAATAACTTAAATGAGCTTCTCGATCTAAATGCAAAGACGTGTAGTTGTATGAAAAGGAAAACATTTGGTTATCCGTGTAGCTATTTATAAAAGTTCCTCTTCATCTAAATCAAGATGATTCAAGCGCATACGCTATGGATTGGTACACTACAGAAGTATATCGACAGACTTATGCAGAGATTGTCTACCCTATTCCACATCCTTCTGAGTGGGACATACCAGATGACTTACAAACAGTTTTGCCACCAGTCATAGACAGCAGGCTACCTGGCCGACCAAAAAATCACGATTGTATACCGTCTAAGGGTGAAGAGAAGAGGATATCGACATGTAGTCGGTGCAAGAAAAGTGGTCATACATGGTTGACATGTGGATCACCAGTGCCATCACAATAATCTTTTCCTCTACCAAAATATAGATCATCATCAAAATACAAAGCTCATATGGTGCAAAGCAAAAGAAAATCAAAATCGCAATCAAAATCAAAATCTCAATCATAACCGGCTTCACCTTTTGGGACTTATTAACTTAGGTGATTTTTAAATGCAAACGTTGTATTATGTGTATTTTATGTGTGAATGCATACATTTCAGTTAGACATTCATTACTGACTTGAGTTTGAACATTTCTATGATTTTTTCAGTTGTTATCACTTATCATATTGTTGTCTGTTATCTTTTTGAAGGTGTTTTCCTTGAATTCGCAACGCGAAAGTAAAATTCACGTTGCGATTGTTGCAAAAGTCAAATTCGCGTTGCGATTGTTGCGAAAGTCAAATTCGAAACGAGAAATCGTAACGCGAATTTGACTTTCGCAACCATCGCAACGCAAAAATCGCAACGCAAATTTGATTTTCGCGTTGCAAATTTGTACCTTCAACATGTTTTTTTTACTTCAACATAATGTAGATTGAAATTTAAAACAACAAATCAACTTTTACAAATCAATTAAATAAGCAAAAAATAAGAATTATTTACACATCAATTAAACAAATTAACTTTTACAAATCAATTAAACAACCAAAAAATAATTCTAATTTCCTTATCAATTAAACAAATCAACATTTACAAATCAATTAAACAAGCAAAAAAAGTGTACCCCAGACAGTTGTTTATGTACAAATACATCAATTTCACGCAGCTTACTTTATGATTAACCTGCAGAAACCAAACATTTGCTCAAACAACACTTTTTACAGATCTAAAACCAACAAACAGCAAATTATTGAATTCTAGGTACTTAACCAAACATTTTCAAACCAACAAAGAGTATATATGTTAACAAACTTGCTCAAACTTACCAATTGTTTATGCACACTTTCAGCACGCGGATGCAGGTAGACAACGTCTCGTATATATCGTCCGAGCCATAAAATGCTGAAACCACAACCCTACTGCACCTCTATCTCTATCTGTGGGAGGTAGAAACAGTTTACTTTTTGTCGTCAAACGTTCCAAGCACATGCATACAAGAGAGGACCACAGTCCACTCTAGCTCCCTCCGTTTGTTGTGGCGTGGTCTCATCTTTGATCATTGTAACTTTGAACTTTTTTGGCTTATTGTTTCCAGAATTAGTCCAATAATCAATCGCATACAAGTATTTAGCCAAATGAGCGCTCCATCCCTTACAAACAATATCTCTCAAATCAGACAATGGTATGTAATTCAACAGGCTGTCATATACTATCGTCTTCAGGGATGGGAG